AACTTAATTTATGCAAACACAACAAACTTCGAATTCTTGTTAAAGTTTCGATGTGAGGAAAATTCGTTTAATTCGATTGAGGATTAATGGGGGCAAGATATTTGCATGGAACCGAATATTGTATCAGCATATTTAATAGGAAATCAACAAAATTATTATAGAAGGCAGCTGCGGCRACGATATTGTTCTTGTTGCTGCTGTTGTGTTGTATGTGTGTRTGTATATAAAACACAAAAGCAGCGGCGGCATTTGGCAAAGATACACAAAAAAGCACACATACATACATACTCACTCACTTGCACACACAAACACACACACACACACGCTTAAAAAGCGACTGACGGCTGCCAATTGAGCTAGAGATAATCAAGAGCACAAAAAGAAACAACAACAGCAGCAACAACAACACATAAGAAAAACTTGTGTGAGTTAGTAAAGTGAACGGTAGAGGGGACAGGGTGGGAAGTGCGAGAGGAAACAGAATGAGTATCGACGGGCAGTGACGCCAGCAGCGGCGTCGTCGTCGGAGCACAATAAAAAGAATTTCGCATTTGTACTGTCAGTCACAAATATTGAAACGACAGCAGAGCAGACGGTCGGTCGGTCAGACAGTCGGGCGGGCAGTCAGTCACTCGCTCAGTGGAGTCGAGAGAGTCAGCAGGCACCGTCAGTCATTTGCTATGGTCAAAAAAAAAAAAAAATACATACACGTCAAGTTTGCAAAAAAAAAAAAAAAAAGAATAAAATAAAATGAAAAGAAAAAAAAACAAGCAGCCGTCGCTTTGGATGTTCCCTCCCCCATGCCCATACGCACGCTCCGCGCACCTTTTCATTGGCAGCGCGTCGACGCCGGCGTCGCGGTTGACGTTGTCGACGGTGACAGCGTCAACGATAAATGCTCGAATMATATTGCCAACGCTTTGCTGTTGTTATTTCTACTGTTGTTGTTGTTGGCGCGCGCTTGCTCTGCTCACACCCTCACACACACACACACATACAGACTGGTACACACACATCCCAATACAAATACAACCTTTTTTGCTGCCGTTGCCGTTGACGACGCTTTGACCCGAGCAAAGGTCCAACTGTGCCAACGGTTGCCGTCATAAAACTTTAACCGAAGTATAAGAAAAGACACAAAACAGCAGAAACAAAAGAAACAGGCGAAGAACGAAGTATTTACTTTGCAATATTGTTTGCTGTATGCGTACAATAGGTACTCCGGCTCGCGYCTTAYAATTTGTTAGTTTAAATTGCCCCCAACTCCCTCTAATACAAACACATACAATCAAATACACACACTCTCTTCATCCTCCGCCGCTTGCTTTGTGAGTGATAAGCAGAGGAGACATCTGTCGGTTATGATGCGTGACAGCAGAAAGCGCAATAACTGTTATTAAGAGGCAAGAGGAGCAAAAATGCGCTCCACCTTTATTGTGGCACTGTGGGCTGCTAAACGTATGCTCATTAAAATTAATTCATAAAATTATGCATTTTCTTTTTCGCGACATAAAAAAACAAAAAATGTGTAATTATCAACCACTGTGAAAACGCGTCGCCTTTGCCGTTGTCGTCGCAGTCGACGTCAACGCTGGCGTCGGCATCGGCATCGGTCCATTCATTGCCTCTCACACTCGTGCCATGGCACGACACCGCTCTCATGTTTCAATTCCACTTGTAACGAGCCGAGCGCGTTTTTGTTTTCACAGTATTGTCGCTCTCAGTCGCGACGTTATCCCACAGATATTTGGTTTGCTTTTCGCCACAGCTCGTCCGTAAATTATTTCAATTGTGGATTAAATATACAAAAATACGGTGAAAAATATCAAAAAATATGTGAAATGTATAAGAAAGTATGCCAAATGCATTCTATGTGCCAATTTTCAAGTAAGCATCTGTGCAAAGTGGATGCATCTCTTTTTTTTTTTTTATCAAAAAGGCCGACAGACTATCTGTGTCTCAGTCAACGCTTAGTCAGCGGCGTCGGCAGCGCGGTGACGTCGTCGGCAGAGGCGGCGTTCATATGCAGAATGTGTGAAATGCAAATGCAGGCAAAACTTTATGAATGAAATTTATAAAGAGAAACCAAACATATGTAAAATAAAAACAGAAAGGAAAAGTTGAAAGTACGGCTACTAAATGTACTCAGTTAAAAACTGCTCAAAGTAAATCGAACGGCATTTTCTTTTTCGCCTTGTGTATGCATCGTTCGCCGCTGCGGCTTATGTATGCGCCTGTAGGTCTTAAGGCTTTGTGTATGTGTGTACTGTGTGGGTTTTGTATAAGAATCAAAATATTTGTGTTTAGTGATTTGCACAATTGAATAAATTCCGAACATGAAATTAGTTCTTTTTTCAGTCGATTTAAAATGCAMTTTATTCGTTTATTTGTGTCGCCGCATTTTTTCTGCTACGCCGTGTGTGAGTTGCGCGCTGCGCGACGCTGTTAATTCGCTCTGTTTCTGTTTGCCCCTGTATGCAGGTGTAGTGGTGAGCGAGTGAGCGAGCCGCACAGAGACGCCGTTCTGTTCTTACTCTCCCATTGCTCTCACGCACACAATTACAACAACAGCACGACCGCTACCCGTTTCCGTTCGTTTTGTGTGTGGAAGTTGTGTGTGTAGTTTTTTTTTGTAGTTTTGTTTTGCTTTTCATGTTTCTCGTGTTTTCTCTTTGCGTTCGACGTTCGCATAGCCGCCGCTACCATAGCGTTGCCAGCATTGAGAGCGAAAGCAGAATTGAGAGAGCGGCGAATTAAGCGAGAGTTGAAGAGAGTTCATATGCTATAACTGTAATTTCAATAATATGCTAACTATTTGTTTTGCATTCTCTCTATCTCTATCCATTTGCAGGCAGTTACAAGCACAACAAAAACAAAAATAATAATAACAAAAAGGAAAACAAACAACAAAAACTTTGCACTTTAACATGAACAAAAATGCCGGCGATGGCAGCGGCAACGATGGCAAAAACTCAAATAATCACGGTGGAAAAGGGGGCTCCGGGGCGGGTGGCGGCGCAGGGGCTGGAAATCCCCATGATCCCACCGGACTGTTAGATGCGGCATCGCTGTTCGGTATGTAATCTAGAAATAATTCAAATACATTTAGGTATAGGATTTAATAATTACTATTTGCTTATTGTTTTTCTTGCCTGCAGCCTATTGGGGCCGCGATCCAACTGGCGCTGCAGCTGCGGCTGCCTCAAATCCGCTCTTCAACTCGCAGTTTAATGCAGCCGCTGCCGCCGGCTTGGGCCTGCTGCCAAATGCTGCGGGCGCAGCAGCAGCTGCTGCCAACGACCGTTATTCATCGATGGCCGCAGCAGCAGCGGCAGCTGCCGGCGCCCACCATCATCAGAACACAATGGCCGTCGCGGCCTCGCAGGCAGCCAGCCTAGCGGGTCTGCACCCAGCAAGTGAGTAAAATGTCGGCATCGACACTCGTCMACATTAATTAGCATACGAAAAGTGAGACAAAGCAAAGAAACCACAAGAAGAGTCAAAGCAGCCGCTTTGCTACGCGCAACGTAGCAGCTGTGTTGGCGCTGCCCGCTAAAATGTTGAGACGGAGTGAATTG